ATTCTTTTCTTCTCGCCTGTTCTTTCATACAAACGTGTAAACGCTTTTTTATGTCAGTTATAGTGGTGGTGATTAAAAGTAATCCATGGTCTCGTTTTGTTCTCTCTTTTATAGATCTTACTCTTAATTTTGTCGTAACGAAGCACAATACTAAAGAATGAAATCTTATTTCTCCGGAGTGGATTTTTTTTAATGAGTAATAGCTGTCTGTTTAACGATTCCAGTTGATTTAGATTCCTTATAAGAAATTTAAATCAAGAGTGGTAATTCCATACAAGGAAGGAACCTCGGAAGCCTTACGCAGAATTCTTAACAAGGCAGGAATAAAAGTAGCATTCAAACCCACAAACTCAATTAGAAACAAGCTTTGTCGGTTAAAGGATCAATCCTGTGGAGCCTTTAAAACAAAACAATTCAGTTTATCTAATACTCTGCAATGACTGTCAGGTCAATTACATAGGTCAAACTAGTAGAACAGGGGCAGTCAGACTAGCTGAACATAAAAGCCTAGCAAAATCTAGATTGGCTGACCCGAATAAGATAAGAAATCTAGAGAATAGTTCAACTATAGCACTACATGCAGTTACACACAACCATACAATAGGATGGGATAGGATGACACTTTTAAAATCTAATGTAACAGAGTGGCAAGTGGGGAAGATTGATAACGGAAGCTTTGTTTATCGAATCAACTGCAAATACGTTTAATAGGAATGATTCAACACCTGTCCCGGACATCTGGAGAATTCTACTACCCCCATGACAAATAGGCGAGAACAAAACCACAGAACTCAAGTTTCGAAGTCGTGTGATTATAATTGATATGATTATGAACAATAAAGTGTGTTCGAAACGTCACCCAGTAAATAATGCTGTTTCACTGTGTGATACATTTAATAAACAAACTAATATGGAAAAACTTCTTTTGATTTATTTTTTTAATTCCTTTAAGTCCCCAGTGGAACATAGGGAAGGGAAATAAAAACAGAATTTGTCTAATTCCTGTGCATGTTTGACATGCAAGTCGTCATTATTACTATTATGATCAGTATCACAACTGTTATTATTTATTTTATTTTTACATTTTCCTACTGTTATAACTGCACTGAACTGAATAAATCCATCACCACTTTGTTATATCTGCACCTGCTAATTGGTAACAACAGTAATGACCTCGACTGGTACCCTAATATGCCTGTAGCTTTAGGATACTGTACTGGATCCTATCGTCTACATACTTCCTGACTAATTTATCAGGGTAATTATTAAGTTTCAAAGCTTCCCTTGTATGCCTCACTTTTCTTAGATTTTGCTTGGTACTACATAGTTTTTGTGCTCTGTCACTTAAACATTTCACCAATCCTATTTTTACTGACATAGGGTGGGATGATCGGAAGTCCAAATATCTGTTTGAATGTGTGGGTCTGCTGTAAACACTAGTGTTTAACTTCCCATCTTCTTTTCTTTTTACGCTGCAATCTAACATTGGAAGCTCCCCTTCCTGAATTTCCAATTCATAAGTGAATTGAATTGCCTCCACATTTGAGTTAATATGTTCGAAAAATCTATCTATACCCTGTGTTCTAAGTACAGTGAACGGGTCATCTACATACCTCCACCATACTTTTGGGGTGGGGGTGAATGTTTCAATAGATATGTTTTCCCCACCTATCCATGAATATATCTGCTACAACCGGGGATATTGGTGATCCTATGGCAACTCCCTCAGTTTGTTTGTACATTTTCCCTTGGAATTTAAATGCTGTGGAAGTCAGGCATAGCTAAAAAACAAACTAATATGGAATTACATACTACGACAGTGCCCAAGTTTTGCACATATATTTATAATTCATCTAAGACATTTAGTTCATATGGGTAATGAAAGTTTTAAGTTTTGTCAAATGTACAATTTTCAAGTATTGGTTTTGTAGGGATTTTGTTTGATTGCATAGAGGATTTCATTGTGAGCTGACATCCGCTAGAGAACCATTGGAAAACCTGGGAGTACTGGACAGCCGATTCGTCCTAGTTTAGGACTCTTCAGCAGTACGCACCTACCGGGGTTCGAACCCAGGACCCAGGTTTTCCAGTGATTCTCTAACTGATGTCAGCTCATAATGAAATCCTCCATGAAATGTATTATTGTTTAGAAATGCGCATTGTAATTTTTCAAACACTTATAAATGAACAGTAAACATTCTTTTTGATAACTTCTTCAGGTTCTAGAGTTATATCTCAGTATTTCTGTAGGGATAATTCTTATTGATAGCAATAGTATTTTTAAATAACACTGAGGCATAAATCCGAGGGGTGTGTGAGAGTAAGTAGTTTCTGGATTGTAGTTCAAAACACATGTGCGTGCTAATATGTGTAAACAAATAGACTAACAAATGCATTGGGTGTTTGAGTCATACGATTCAGACAGTTGTATGAGTTAGTGAAGCATGAGTCATCAGAAGCAGGGATAACGTAGGTTGACTAAGTGCAGAAAGTAATCCAAAATTTCTCCCCCAGTCAATAGATTAATCCCTTATAATATCAGCTATACTCCGTATATGAAGGTCATTAAATAAACATGTGATCGTACAATAACTTTGTATTCCTATGCGAACTGTATGTCGGCATTGAGATCAATACATTGTATGAATAGCTTATGTGGAAAATAATATATTAGTCTCAACTGCTGTCTGCGTAAAAGGTGCATCTTTCACTTGCCAGGGTGTTCAAGTGAAACAGGAAAAGTGGAGTACAGTTACTTATTATCCACATAGGTAGCATGTTTCTAAGATCACTGAGTAAAAGTGATATCAGGTTGTAAGTAGTATTAAGATTTTTTCTGCTTTTTATTGACTCAGTTGAACGCAAACCTGGTACCATGACAGGTGAAACACGAGATCGAATGAGAAAGTCAAGAAAAGAATCGAGATGGTTATAGAACAACACATTGAAATAGGCAAGCCTACTTATTATGTCCATTCAAAAGAGCAGTCACTACTTGTTATCACTTCCAATAGTACAGGATACAGACGAACTACGTCACGTTTACTGTTGTTTTACTTACTGAGGTATGTTTGACCTTGTCGCGAGCAACCGAGTTATAAGACCTCTGATCGCTACCCAGGGAATTGTAACGAAACCAGAGATGCTAAGGAAAGTTCATTCGACACTGTGACGGCATAACATAGCAGGAAACTAGGCATCTAGTAAAGCTCATTTCTTACTTCGTTCTAAATGTAGTCAATAGTTGCTTAACTGAAGATAATGGAAATGTGTGCATGATTATTGTGACCTTTCTTTGTTAATATGAACTCAGAATACGAGTGTTTTTTCTAATCATAGCTCAATATAATCCTTCCTACAGTATGTCATAAGAGCTAGCCAACTAGCAGAATGAATTCCAACGATACATAATATTGAACTGGTTGAGTTAAGTAAATAATCACACCTAGGATTTATATTGGATATCTTAGGAACACAACACACATACTATGTGTGTGATGTTATACTTTTGGTTAGCACAGTCTGTTGTCTGATTTGGTATTGGGTTCAGACGTGGAAAGCTCCAACATGAAGTTGGCAGAGTGATTTCGTATTACTAATTTTTAAGAAGTATTCATCACGAATGTGTAATCTAGACTAATTGGCAAACATAGTTAAATAAAACAGCAACAAATATTCATAAAGCAGGACTTAACGAATTCATCAAATTTCGTTAAAACTCTGCTTACAGTCATATGACAGAATGAATACGCTTATGTTATTGTGAATGATTTTAAATTATTTCATCATCCTGAAGGTCTCAGTCAATTCACCCTATGAAGTCTTGATAAGTCGATGTGAGTAGGTGTTTAGTGGTTTGGCATAACAGACTGGTACAACAAAAATAAATTTTCCAGCTACTTGATACTGGTCAATGTCACGTAACCACGACTTCTTTCAAAGTATCACTTCTTGAGAGACTTTCACTCTTATAACACAATACTGATGTCAGAGACGTTACTACTGTTTACTAGGACTTTATTTGCGTTCCAGGCATCTGGATGCAACTAGCAGAAATACTCTGCGGCCAGATTTGATGTTCATCAGCAAGGCGTAATCAGTAGTCGCTAATAAATGTATTGAATAACGTGCACTTCAGCCATCAATTCAGTGGACATATAGCGAACTTGGTCCATGATATTTGCTTAACCTTTAAGTTAAAGACTAGTTATTCACGCATAATATGTTACTTGAATTGCGTGGAATATATAAACTATAAGTTCGGCCATTTCTTTAAAATTAAATGTGATGCAATGCACAACCAAAATCAGTGAGTTGTTTTGTTTCTAGAAACAATTCATTGGTAAATATTTCTAGCATTTATTAAGTTAGTTAGTTAGTTGCTTTGAAATACTAATCAGGTGTTTAACAGATGTGTGGATAATATGGAGTTAATAACTGATACATACACTTTTAGTTGAAGTTCTCAAGTGCTGATTTTATGAGTATTTGATTAATTTGGACTTAAATTTTTTTTCCCTGACAGACATCAGTTCGAAATCTGTAGAAAATCAAGGAGTTTTGGACAACTGTTTCGTGCTATCTTTTTGTAAGTGAGCGCTCATAAAACGAAGGTGGGACTTTCAGTTCATGAGGCTAGCATGTTGACATTCATTTTATAGTTAGAAATACCTTTAGAAGGCATCTACCGGATGATTTACTGGTTTTGGATCTCCGAATGGGATGATTCAGACATTTGTTATGATTGGTAGCTAATGATCCTTATATTGAAGATGTTTATATTGTTTACAACTGTGTCGACAACCGTTTACGAATGTTCATTTCACCCTAATAATTAATTAAAGAAGTCTTCCTACTTCCGATTATTTTATTGATTTTACCAGACTACTTGATAGTAGTATATTACATTGACTAAAATGTAGAATGGTAGTACAAAGAAAATAGAATGTTTTTCAGCCGCCATACTTCTTTTCTAAAGTACTGATCATTTACTTGAATATAAAAGTCCACTATTTAATATAAAAACGTATTCTTTGCTTAAATTCTTATGTGATTCCAAGTAATTAAAATTTATACAGTTCATTTTATGCCATTTATTATTAGACATATCAACGGCATATGGTTTTTTATGAAAACAGATTTGTATGTTCCGGAAAATTTTAAGGAGGTGAATTATATACGATTTTCTTCATCGTATACATTTAATGAAGGAACTCTTCTCTAAGTACAAATCTCAAGCCCTATGACACATTTTAATGCGTTTTTCTAGGTGAAGATAATGGATAGATTCGTCGACTTGTACGATTGAATTTAGACTTGTCGGTTTGGCAGTTTTTATTCAAACATATATCGGAAAACACATTTTCACCATCTGTTTTACTATCAGATTTATCACTGTCGTTTTCACAGGAATTATTTCGTTCATCTAGGTGTACGAATGATAACGATTTAGCTGCTGATAACATGTATACCGGCTTACAAATCGGTGGATTAAGACCTGGAACTGAGGCCAACTTTTTTACTGTTTTATTATTTCTTGGTTTATAGTTATTTTTTTCGTGAACATGGCTATTTGACGGGGAGTTCACCTGTTTATTTGATCGAAGAACACAGCTGGATTTAAAACGTCTTTGATCCTGAGTATTTATGCGGTTGTTTTGTTTACCGAATGGAGATAATGATGACAATGATGACGAAGTGCTGTAGCGTGTTGAATACACTAATGGTTGAAATTTACGTCGGTTCGCCTTTTTTGTTGGTTTGCGTAACTTAGATACACTTTTATTACTGCTTTGAGGTTTCCTTACTGTTTGCGATGCGGAAGATTTTATTGTTTGACAAGATCTATCTTTTTTACTTATACAAAATTCAGCATATAAAGGAGAATCATCGTTAGAGTCCACCTTATTTTCACTACGTTTATCACCTTCTGTAGGTAAAATATCATTTTGTTGGGATGTTTTAGTAACACTTGAAATACATTTTCCACATGACAATAAATTTATAGCAGATTTTACAGGATTTATAAAAGTGCACTTCTGACAGTATTCAGGTTTATCTGAGTAGTTTATATTCATGGTTGACAATTTCTGATTATAGTTTTTATTGCTGTTAACAACATCCTTGTTTGATGAGTGAATTACCTTTTCTTCAGATGACAAGGAGGAAGACGATTTGTTTGGTAGAGATATAGACGAAGAGGTAGGAGAATAGAAGAATGATGAAGAAGGTGAGGAATCTACTGAACAGTGATTACGCATATTACTGTTCGACAAATGTTCTAGGAAGCGTTGCTTTCCAATAGGATTACTGTCATGCTTTGCTTTAGGTGACGAATTCACTTCGTTTATCGATTGAAATCCACTGTCAGACGACGATGAACCAGTTTTAAATGGCTTTAACTTTTGATTATTTAAATTTGGAAGTGGATGTTTCTTTAATTTATCTTCTTGACCGCCTAAAAATACATCAACAGATTTACTCAGTCGTGTATATTCTGTCAGTAAACCTTCAAGATCACTTTCATTTGAATCACGTATCAATTTCCAAAATTGTGTTGAATTCAGCGTTTTCATACAGTTTGTAACTTTACAACTTTTAATAAGTTGTTTATTGTTAACTGTTTCATACTGATACACATTAATAAATTCATTTAATAGTCTAGCTAATTCTAATTTACTTTCACGTTGATTTCTGCCGCCTGATGAGTGAACCTGTGAATATAAATTATCACTTTTTAATGGATTCTGTGTAGATGATAAATTGGCTGAGGCAGTGTGTAAAAATTTTATTAAAAGTCTTATTTCTTCATCATCGTTTTCATACTGATTTGTAGCTGTTGAACACTGGTCAGCTTCAATGACCAGCCTATTTTGAATACGTGAAAGATAGGCGGTAAATGCATGTCTAGCTTGTATTGGACTCAATTTACTAGCATTATTTACTACTAATGAATGTTTGTGTCTACGTGAAGTGTTATGTTGTTGACTTTTGATCCTCGTTGGTTTTAGTAACAGTTCACTATGTAAACCTTTCTTATTTTCATTTGTATTAGCTGAGTTTAAAATAGGTTCTGGGATATATGCATTGTTATCCTGACAGTTACTTGCAGTGTGTGATGTATTCAAATCTAATGGCGATGCATATGTGGAATTTACTGATTTACACATCTGCCATATACCACATATTTTGTGTTTTGAGGCATGATTATGTAAACATCCTGGAGTTAAGCAAACACCAGGGAGAATTTTTGGCTTTCTACCTAATTTACGTAGAAAATATGGCATATGATTCATTACATAACAGTAAAGTAAGGCGACACGCCTACAGTCTCGCATAGATGATGTATATTCACCATTTGTTGGAGAGTTAATAAAGTTAGTGATATAATTATGCATTTGTGATGGTGTCATGTTATGCAGTGGTAAGGGTTTTTGATGAATAGCTGATGTTATTATACTGGGTTTCTGGATAACTTTTATACCATTAGAAATACTGTGTCTATGAGTTATGCCTCGAGAAAATAAACAATGTAGATTAGTTATACCTGGTGCATAGTTCGGATGAAAATAGGTACACTCTTCAGGTACTTTAAGTGAGCCTATTAAGTCCACAAGGTTATCTGTTGTATTTTCCCTAGTAGTAACTTTGTCAGTAGTCTTTAACTGATTTATTAGTACTGATGTAGACCAGCTGACTGATTGAAGGATATATGAAGCATAAGCTGCATTATATGCATCCATTAGTATACTGTTGCCTATATCATTTAAACTTTTACCATTACTTTGATTGTACTGGTCAACTGAAGCATAAAGTATTTCGTTATAGTGTATTCGATTGCATTCATTGTTATGTTTATTTGATTCATATGGAAATAGGTGAGCATATTGTTCCCAAGCAACTGGATTTGGATACAAGCGTATCCAGCCACCAGCTCTAGCAGATTCCTCACTTAGTCGGCGTAAGATATTCATTTGTGTTTTGTTAATATCCTTCGGCATCATTCCACTTATTGGTATGCCATATAAATTATTAACTCCTTTATCTGATTGACTGTTGGTGCCATTATGTCTTTGAGATGGAGTCTTAGTACCTGCATTTGGAAAAGAAAGTGGTTGTAATGAATTAACATTAAAAGCAGTAAAACTATAAATGATAGAAAGGATACTGTTCCAACCTAGCTTATGATTTTTATACAGAGTGTCTCCTTGACTCAAGGATGGGCTCGTCTCTGGACTGTCGAGTATGGAAGTGATCACTTTACCATTCAGCCACTGGATTGAGGTTCAGTGACATCTATTTTTTCAGGTTTCACTCACCAACGATAAAATGCAGCCACCTTTTGCTGTTGAAGTTAGATAGAATTATGTATTGGCCTTAGAAAATAGGTAAAAGCTGTACGCGGATTCTCCACTACTTGTCATCTTAGTGCTTTCCTCGTCCTTCATTACCATAATTCGTTTCAAACAGTTTATATACATTCTTTACTCTATTTTTTGCTGTCGTTAAGATGCCAAACACCAAGACCGAATGTGTCAGCAGTATTTAACAGTAAGCACAGAACTGAAGTTTGGATAGTGGTAGAATAGAAGATAATGGTTAAAATTGGACAACACATGTTTCGTCAAAAACATTTTCGGCTAATACAATTTATGGAAAGCTGCAGTCAATAATTAAGGACCTCAAAGTCTTATTCTGTTTCCAATTCTGTCAGTTTGCCTAGTTTCATTACCCTATAAACATACATTTATGGATGATCGTCTAGTTCGAGTAAAACATAAGTATGTTAAGCCGAAATAGTCACTGTTGGTGCTTGTGGGTTAAGTAATATGGGCGGCAAAAGTAATTTGTTGGAAGTCTACACTTCTTTTTACTGAATCATAATAAATGAATTATTTCAGCCATCTTGTTTGTGATTATTATTCATAATTTAGGTTACTTTTCATGTACTTTCCTGTTTTAGCTTGAAATATCTCTTTGGGCTCAGACTTCTTTTAAATTAGGTAGTTCAACATCGTCAATGATGTCATCAGAAAACATATTCATGGGAGTTACTGAATTTTCAGACTGGCATGCTTACCAGATCTAAAATAATTATGCTTTTAGGTACCTGTATAGCAACATATCTGGATTTGTAATAAAATACTGTGTTATGAGTTCTGTGTTATATAAGTTCTATGGAAGTAAGCATGCAGTCTGAACAAACAATTCAAATTTCTGCGAAAAATGGTTAAAATATACCTCAAGGCTATTAATTTCTAAACATAAATGCTTTCTAAACGTTTTCGAACACTGTTGTGTGCTCTGTTTTGTTTTCTCAGATTGCATACATTCTGAGTGCATAACATGTCAAATGATGCACTTTTTCTTCATTTTATTCAGAAGTCCGATTCCACTGCCATGAAAGCGCTTTAAAACTTGAGCCAAATAATTTAACTATTCTAAAGCTCACAATCAGAGATGTATAGAAATGTGCAAGATGAAAACTGCATAACTTTGCTAATTCTGAAATTTTAGTTCTCAGTTCAAAACTCTGTACAAACAATACAATACCATAAATGTAGGCTACAGTGAGTAACACCTGGTCAGTTCACTTCTAACAAAGAAGGAGAATTACGTAAACAATTTGTTTTATCTTGGTTATTATCAGCCTGCTCAGAGAGTTGACTGGTTTTGCATTACCTTTCGTGATTGAAATGAGTTCTAGATAGGCTTGGGTAGTGTATAGATAGGTTTGTCTAAAAATGGGCAGAATTGTCAACCACTGAATGGGCCACTTCAGCCTGCATCACCAGCACAAGTTTATCTCTTTTAGAACAGAATGTATCATAAGTAAAACTAGTAATAATGATTATGACAATAATAATTAGAAAGACTACTTGAGTAACTGTACTTGCTTGCATTTCGAAAATATTGATCACTAGCAGAAACAAAGTATGCTGTTGGATCTGGTGGTACAAACGACGTTCCATTAGATGTAACATTAAATCCATTACACATTCCACGTGATTTCCGTGATGGATCATGACAGGTTATACCAACAAGATTGAATAAGTCTGTTAGCATGTGTGATTTAACTTTGAAGTCCAAAGGTGAATCACAAACCAATGAAGGCGATAAATTGACCTACAAATTAAATAATTCAAATCAGTATACACTAGTAACTGTTTACCGGTTAAAGCAAATTTACATCAGTTCACATAACTGTGAATTCTACTCGATTCTACCTACGATAATAGAGTTTCTGAATAAAATTTTATTTTTCCTTTGCTGGCTATTTGAGAAATCCATTAGGTATGACACGATCAACTTACTGCGGCACTCTAACAAATAGTTCCCATTAGTTTTTGTTTTCCTTTCTTTGTTACTATTATATTGTTGTTCACATCTTTAATTACACACTAATTTCATATTTCTGTAGTGCATTGTTTAAAATGTGAATGCAACGCTGTTCTTTTTATTTGTCTATTTTTTCTTGTTGTTGCTTTTTGTTTTTAAAATCTTAAAAAATGTATGAGGTAATTAGATGCAATATTGTAATACACGCTGAAAATTCCATACCTGTACCATAAATACTGTTTGGAATAAAGCCATTATTATTATTATTATTATTATTATTATTATGTTAACGTTTATGGCCTATATAGACCATTAAGGAGGAGTTATTGTACTCATTGTACCAATTAATCACTTAATAGGGTGGGACAAAGTATTAAAGGGTGATATAGTTTAAAAAAGGAGAGAGAGGGAGAGAGACAGATAGGTCATGCATCGAATCAACAAAACATGTTATAAGAATGAAGCAAAATGGACCCCAGATATATAGAGAAACAGAAAGGTGTAGAACTATATGAAGCATATCGTGAATATCTTGACACAATTATGAGCCAAAATAGTACTCAAGACGTCACACAGTTATTATTATCGGGTCACCATGTGTCATACAAGCAAAATTTATTTTTGTAACGCCAAAAATTTCCCAAGTAAAGGCTTATGGTACTACTTGTTTGCCTGACTTCACTTAAGAGAAAAGGCTTCCAAACCTGACATATCTCCTTTTTCATAATAATAATATTATTGTTATTATTCGTTTCTTGGATTCCGAGTGGAACAAAGGGCTCCAGTAAGTCATACTCGTCGTACTCCCAGCCTTTCTGACCACTATGCTTTTGGTGACGCGTGTGTCAAGTCACTGACCCATGCGGAAGCAATGACTTGACATTAGTGTTGAAAATTCGGATTTTGTTCTTTGTGACGAGTTCAGCGGAATGCCGCACTTATTAATAGATGTTCGTCTTGCTCTACCTGTCTTACCTGTCTTTGAAATCATCATCCATTCCACCTTTAATTGGGATGATGCTGCCCAAATAAGTGAAAGTGATAACTTTCTCTATATTCACCTCTTCAGGTTGTACCTTTTATCGCATTCTGAAGATTAACAGACAAGTAATTTTACAGAAGTACTCTGCACGAATCTTTAACACCAGTGACATGTCAATAAAAATTTCAGAAATTGATATGAAAACCAGTAAAGAGGAAAAGAAAAATCAAGCCAGTTTTGATCGAAGAGGTTTGGCATACATTTGTGAATTCTACTATCAATACTAACATACACAATGAAAATGTATGAACAAATAACCGTCTTTAGAATTTATGAATCTTATACAAACACCAAGATGAACGACTATGGTTTCTTCGGTCAATGGCTTCATAACATAACCAAAGGAATATGGCCAGAAGGATTCTAGTGTACGTATATTTAGACAATAGTAAAAATCGTATTATCGTATTATGTTATCGTATTATCGTATTCTGTTTGAGGGACTGAATGCCTATGTGTTTACCCTGATTTGATGAAACTTGAGGTGATCAGTGTGCACTGTAGACAAAATAATGCAGTGGTGTCTTCCTGGCCTATGTTTTGAAAGATACTTCTCGGGCTGTTTTAGTTTTGTACCAACATATTTGCACACTAGTTAATAAACTTTAACATAGGTTTAGGATTACACTTCAATTCAGCACCCTACAAATGATAAGAAACTGCTTTGAATTCGTTTTAAGAAATAAGTCGAAAATACTCTAAAGTAACAACACCTACCTCTAACAACCAGGGTCTAAAATTTTCGTCAATAATTATATCAAAACCATACAGTTCAAAGCATCGTGCTTTACTGGCAGGAAACATACGACAAGCTACACTGATTGGTGGTAGGACACAAAGAAATGATTTAATTATCACTTCTTCTATTCTGACCATTAGTCCAGTGACATCAACACCTTCACTGTGAAGATATCTAAAGTAATAGTGTAGTTGGTGAAAAGTAGTCCAAATGTTTCATTATATTTGCTAATAATTGACAATAAAATATTATTATTATTAAATGCAAACGATATGTAGAAATAACAATTTGGAGAGTTTGACCACTGAATTCTGTGTTACTGTTAAATACTTACATTCAATTTATGCGTTTAGTTGCGCAATAACCCGAGGATTCACTTCACTAAAGAATATCTGATCGGGACAAGACAAACGTCTTATATTCGGTTGTTCTATTATTATTACTGATGAAAACTATAATGACACAAAAACGGATATTTATAAAATATGATTTGAATTCTCACTTCATAGCTAATAATCTTATTTGTTTTATTCATTATCAACATGAAAGGATAAAACATTTTATTTTTGTTACTATACCTAAAATAAATATAAAAACAACATTCCGAAGTACTTATAGTGGAGAATAGTTTAGAATCATAAACAGCGCTTTATTTATTACTGTATACTCCATACCTGTGGAAGAAAAAGTTTCGCTTGTACAAACAGTCGCTTCACAGTAGCAGAAATAATCACTTATGGATGCATTTTAAAGATTGGGAGATCTAAGGAATTATATGATGAGCTTCAAAAGTGAGATTCCATGCTTATCATCCCATTACACTCGAAGTACAAATCACCAGCTACTTGAAATCGGGACACATTACTAGCTATAGATCTCACTTTTACAGAGTGTGTGAGTAGACGGTAAAGGATAGGAGATACAAATGGTGGTCTTCTTTTATAAAAGGTGAATACATTCGCGTCTTTCAGAACGATTTTGAGCCATGTTGCAAACAATCTCCAGAGTTCTGAGGGCCCAACCCAGAAAGTCTACACCTCTCTACGCGGCTCACACCAACAGTCAAAGATTTCATCGACTGATGCCACTTTCTGATTTGACAACCTCCGACTGTCTTCCAACTTAATCCGCGGTCAGCTAACATTGCTCGATGAGATAGGCGATGACTTAGCATGGTTACTACACCTTGTAGCCATCTCAATCGATGGAACTTTACAACCACATCAACTGACCTGCTCTCTTTACCTGACGGTACGCCTAATCTCACTATTATTCCCCGTACCATACCATTTAATACTTCATATAAAACACAAACACTCATCATATAATACAATCAGCCTTTTCAAGTCTCCAAATTTCAAGGGTCATACCTCACAGACATAAAGAAGGACAGAGCAAACTGGTGAGTAGTACACACCTTCTTTGATTCATAGCCATGTATTACATCTACACCAGAGATAATGCAAGTTGACAAATGCCACAAAGTCTTTTGAATTCATGATGAGATATCGTCAGCAGTCAGTTCCTTAGGACTGATGTAACTTCCGAAATAAGTGAGGTGATCAATATGCTCAACTATTTTACTCCCTATGTTCAAAGTAGAAGTAGGTGTAGACCAGTTCTGTAGCATCATCTTACTTTTGACAGCGGTGAATTGCATGCCAAACATACCAGGATTTCTACTCAAAGTGTTTAGAAGACTCTGGATTTCATCAGCGTTCTTCTCTAAAAGGATCTCATCATCCGCGTATTCTAAGTTTACGAGACAAACAAGTCGACTAGAGTCACACCCATTAGTACATCCTCGGTGAAATTTAACAGGAATGGAGAGAGTGGACATCCCTAACGGAAACTACTGACTATCATTTCAGACGATGAACCAGCATAAGCTTTTACCTGACTAGATAATTTCGAATAGATTACCTCGATAGATGTGATACAACTTCTCGACACTCCCTTCCCACCTAGGCGTTGCTACAGCGTCTCTCGGCAGGCGGAGCTGAATTCTGCCTTCAGATCAGGCGATTAGTCAAATGTTGGACACCGTGAGTATACCTATGCTACGAAATCTGTTGAAGGGTAGAGACATAATCAATACATCCTCCTCTAGACCAAAAGCCTGACTGGTTTTCACGGGCCCGTTCCTTCTGACCACCACTTCTATACTGTATTACTGAATCTAGAATTTTAGATATTATGTTTGTCAAGCCCATCTCCTCATGATTTTCACAGGAAGATTTCCTTCCCTCCTTTTAGACCAAGACAGTCAATGATTTGTGCCAACTCAGCACAACTATCTCAGATCCCATACATAATCTAATATGTTGGCTAACTCAGTCAATAGTTCACCAGCATCATCCTTAAACACTTGTGGAGTCATACCATCATATCCTTCTGCTTTGCTTCACCTTAGACTGGAGAAAACTTCACGACTTCAGTTACTACTGGAGGACTGATGTTTACACCCGTTTCTGGTGGGTGTTGGATGCTGGGGAAACTTAACATGACTACACACCAGTTAAACAGATCCTCAGAGTCTTCCCTCAAATGTCTTAGTTACCTATCCTGAGAGGTATTTGATATTCCGCTATTCTCATGAACTGTTTTGCCTACCTTTGATTTTCTACAGCCCATTTCCACAATGAGTCTAAATAGTTGTCTTGTGTTACCTACCGTCGATGCTTTTTCCACAAAATTGTGCTTTTATCTCTCTTCTGTTCAGGGAATTTGTAGAGGCTGTTACTTAGCTGGCATTCGAGCATCTATTTCTCTTCGCCATGTCTATAGCCCACTATTCTTGCTTCTGTAAGATCGGATAGGGCAGCGGAAACAACCTGACATGTACTAAACGTTGTTTACAAGTTATAAACAGCCCTTACCGTTGCTTCTACGACTGACAGGATATTGCAATACGCTTCCTCAGAATTGATACTGATGTCAATCTCAGGCGCGATTTCGGTTATTTCTTCCGTAAATAAAAGCTTAGTCTTCTCGTCAAGTTAAGGGCTTCTTAACTACTTGTTTTCTATATCTGTTCAGTTTAGATATGTATGTCCGTGGTCAAGTGAGTGATTAGAGTCTACGCAGGTGTTCTAGAGGGGTTAGGAATCCTCTAGCGACCCTCGTCACTGATAACTTATAGCGATGTGATCTAGATGTGTTCACCATTGATTTGTGATTGGAAGTTACCAAGCGAGGCAATGTCTTATATTTGAAATTAGTAGTGACCAGGAACAAATGATTCTTAGAACAGAATTGAAAAAGACAATCAGACTTTTTGATCTGTCTGCAGGGAACCGCATTTGTGCCAACCAAATGCTCTTCTGTGTGTCACAGCTTCCCTACTTGAGCATTGAATTTAATCGCTAAAACGAGTAAATCTTAGACATGAAAGAAGACTAGACGGCTTTCGATAGAAATCAGCCCTTACTTCATCTAAAGTGTGGTCAATTGAGGCGTAAGCAGAGATTATGAAAGGGCATTGATGGGTATGGCTATCTTTCCTTCTAACAGATACGTTCAGCCAGACAGCATATATATGACTTTCCAGTTGGACCCAGTCAACTAGCGAGTTTTTGGCCTACCTGTCAGTGTTATACTGACACCAGTAAGCCTGTAAGTACTAATCATAGAATCGCCTGACACCCGTCAGGTGAATTTAGTAAGTTAATCTGGTTGAATTAAGTGAATAGTCATACATGGGTCCTGTATGCTTGCCACCAAGACACGAAGCACATCCATGACTCAAGATGCTAGCGCTTTTACTGGTGAGGCAAATTGTCTAGTTTGGCCGAATGTTGAATCTTCCTGTCTGAAGCTGACAGTGGAGAACAGAACGAAGATGTGGTATATCTGCTTTCTTTTTCATCCAAGGGAGACACCTTACTGATGCTATATCCATCTGCAACAGCAGTAAGACCTTTCTAGTAATATAGGACGCCAGGGAAAATTCTGTCCAGCCAGTGCAGCTCGTTGTGCCATTGCGACATGAATGCTCTACCACAACGTCAAGGTGATGACTATAGGTTGCGAATGAAATTAAAGACTAGTGCGAATCTGTACAAGCATTACAGAAGTGGCCACATGTTTAGAAAGTCTAAAGTAAAATGAAATTCACATGTAAGTTTGGCTAATTATCACTCAAGTACATATTTAAAATGTCAAGATAAATATGATACAAAAATGCTTTTCTGACTTCCATTAGTCCGTCCGTTTTTTCTTACGAAGACAGAAGTTTAAATAAACAATGTAAATCACGGAATATACACATTGGGTCATAGGAGCTTTCAAAAAGACAATTGCAGCGAAGAAAATTTTCTTTTCGACGAAGTCATCATCTGGGCTGTACATTCGTGTATTTATATCAAATAGATGGGAAAGTTCCAGAATAATTTCCGGTTAAGGGTCAAATTAATAAAAATTACAATTAGGAATTAGAATGTCATAATAGTTATTATAATGCTACTTTGTTCGAGTTTTATCCGCCCCCTGTTTATTATGGCATTCTAATTCCTAATTGTAATTTTTACTAAATTCAGGAACTTTCCCATCCATTTGATATAAATACACGAATGTACAGCCTAGATGATGACTTCGTCGAAAAGGAAATTTTCTTCGCTGCAATTGTCTTTTTAAACAATGTAAACTTTATAATTGACTGAGGACTTTGGTCCACTGAATTGTTGAGCCACGGGTATTTATTATGAGATTTTGTCATGGAGAAACTAGACAAGTGTAAGTCAGATTTGTGCTACCTTTATAGAAAGGGGAGAAATATTTCTCAGGTCCACTGGTTGATCAGGATAAAAAGAAAAGAAATACGCAGATGATATGGCAAGACTCAGTTATTTTATTGGAACTAGATTTGAGTAGTCCTAAAAGATGAAATATGGGCAATCGTGGACCCAGCTGAAGAGGACGGCAGAAAATAGAATAAAGTGGAGATGTCTTGCTGAAGCCCTATGCTCCACTTGGAACCGAAGGGAATAATAATAACATAATAAAACATGACTAACAATGAACTATATGATGAATTTCAAAAGTGAATTCATCCACACCAGTGATGGTAATTCCAAGTAATCCCTTACAATATGGATAAAGTAGTGGAAATGTTTAAAACTAAGAAGAGTTTTAGGTTATCTTCAAAGATCAGTTCTCAAGACCCGGCTTTCTCCTTAAATAGGTTTTAGCCTTAAATACGATATGCTGTATGCACAATTGGACTCAAACATACACTTAGTTAAAGCCTATAGCTAAACATATTCATCAAGATAGTTCAAAATATGATCTCCGAATTTAATTAATTTTTTTTAAAATTTACATGTAATGGTGAAATTAAAGTCAATTCTCGTAACGGAGATTTTGTTTAAGATACCGGGTAATTTGGTTTCTAGAAGAAAGTAACCCCTTACATGACGCTTCTAAGCTTATCTCATACTAGTTTCTAAAATGGTCTAATTCTTTGAACAGTGTTCGGATTCTAAAGTAATATTTGAACTGAAAAGCTTAGTCTTCAGGAGAAAAGGCTAGAGACTAGCAAGTCAGTATAAGATATTGAGACTTTGTGTAGTGTTGAGGTGTGACTATCAAAGCCAGAAAAGAGCCATTAATGTATCTTCATTCAGCAATTAATATAAAAGAGCCGATGAAAAGGAAAGTAATGAAAAGTCCGAAGAGGAGAAAACTAGAGAAATAATGTTCTGGATAAAAATTTATTTTGCAAAGGTTATCTAGTGTTTATTTTTTCCGAGTGCTCCTTGTCAGACTCGGACATTGAGATGAGCTATCTATGGTTACCTAAATTACAGTGGTTATGACCCATTTAATAAGCATTATATATTCGCCTTAGTTTTCTGAAGTTTTAGGTCTTGCGGAGTGAGGTAAACTGGAGGGAGTGTTGTGATTTAAGGTACGCAAAGCACTTGGTACCAAAATCAGTATTTATAAAGTTAATAAATGGTTTTCGATTTATCATATTTTAATAATAAATTATATAATCATATTGGTATAATAGATCACTTAACCCTGAGTATGTGTAAAACCAATGACAATTATTTAAGTGGTACTAACCATGTAATTTTGGGAAACTAATTTACCTCAGAAGGGCACCGAAAGACCATTTGTTTCCGAAATCCTCAATATCTGCATCATCATTTTGTACGTACTCAAAATTTCTTTTATTTACGCTGTAGTTTGTGAGATGCATACACTGAGTTTTGAGATGCTTGACCCCATGTTGGTACCGTACTGTGGCAAAGCGTACAAGTCCCTCTTCATATATGTAACATATAAATGGTTGATAAGAGGTCACAGCAACATAAAGGCGTACGTCAAACTTGAAGCCATCAAGCAGGAGGGGGTTCGAAATGTAACGTGAAACAATTACTGGTTCTTCACATGAAACCTCTTCAGGATGTTTAACTAAATAGATTCCTCTGCCTCTGGAGGACGCTATTGGCTTTACAATAAATGCCCCCTTCTCACCAAGGTAGCTTCTATAAAAATCATCTAGTTCTTCGGGAAGTATAAATGTTGATGGCACAAAATCAAAGCTTTTCAGATCTTTAATAAGCTGCATTCTTTTAATATTCTTAGCCAGCCTGTCTTTCCTAGTGATTTCATATGATCTTGGAAAGTGGTTAACTTTTTGAAAATCTGTTAAAAACCTCAGAAGGTAGGGTTTCAGGTGACAGCCTGTCCACAATATATTTAACTCTTCAAACTGACTAAAAGATTCATGAAATCCATGTGAACTCAGTATGCGTCGAAGAAGTTTGCACTCTGTTCTAGCCAACTTAAATGTCATATTGAACATCTTGCCAATGCTTTCAACTTCATCTTGGCCATTAAAGATAGATAAGGCCGAAAAAATAATTATCGGTATTTTTTTGAAGCTACCACACCACATAATGCCCGCTTCAGAAGCAGGGATTCTGATAAGGGGGAGACATTGAAAATTTTCAAACCGTGGTTTAAATCTCGTAGTCTTAGAACTTGAGGTCCTCTTAGTGATTTCACAGTTCTTCGCATTACTCTGATAATTTTTAGAAGAACACTGTGTTTCATACGACGTTGACACAAATGCTTCTGTCGTGATCGTTGCATCACTATCACTACTAGAACATCTGTCGCTACATGATGAAGTGTAGATTGAAGTTGAACTCATGATGTTTCAGAGTTTGAACTTAGCATAGCAACACAAGCAATTTTTCAATATGTTAAAACATATTTCGGCACAGTGTAGATTTAGAACTTACTCAGGTAAAACAATGGTCCTAAAAGTCTTAAGGTTATGATAATCAAAATTCTTTTGCTGAAACTTAAAGTACCCATGTAGATACCGTTTCCATAAGTTTGCCACTTGAAGACCTCTGTCGATTTCCTTATTACAGCGAGCCTGGGAAATATGTTCACTGAGTCGAGCACTGCCAGTTTGTGTATTAAGTCTGTGCACTTATAAAATAGGGTCCAGTTGTTCTGATAGATATGCCGCTTTCACTTAAGTGAATACTCTGTCAAATCTCACGATCGTAAATTACATATAAATTGCAGTTGCTTTATAAAAGAATGTTGTGAATAGGTTCCTGTCACTTTTAGGCGTTCGACTGGTACTTAGATATCTTATGAATTTAATATCTTTATCAAGATGGGATGATGCAGTTAAGCATTGGAATTACATTGATTTACACTTAAACTTTCTTTCAACAATGTTAATCATTGCTAATTTAGGACAGTTTAATCCCAAATAATGGCACATCAACACAACAACGTTCGCTCCGCAAATCTTTGAGAGTCGTGTTTAATGGCATAAGTGAGATGTATGCAAACTGAATTGCTATGAAGGATACCTGTTAGATGTAGAATAAAGCGATCACAGGTGACAAAATACCTGCAGTAATAACTTACAGGGCCACTGAATGTGTAGAAATACCCTAAAGTAGTTGTAGTGATGAAAACACAGCTACTGCAATCTGAATGCAACAAATGCTGAGGTAAAGAGAAGCTAACATGTTTAAGACTTTTCCCTACATTTTTTGTGTTGTTCTTAAAGCTTAACAGCTTCTTGATTGGTTAAGGGTCATAATTCAGCCGCAACATAGTTAGCATCATCCATGAATACCGACAAATTATACCGATGACAACACCTTACAAATTCCCAGGCTAGAAATTCGTCTGGTACGGAATAAATACTGGGTTTTTTAATTATTTCCAAAGTATCAACATTGTTACTAGTATGGGATTAAATTCCATTATTGAGAAATGAAAGTTTCACCAGGCGGTCAGGAATAAAGTAGCCACTTCAGCACAAAAATTTTAACTCCGTCAATTAGTACTTCAGGAGCGATGGCGCAATGAATTCATTTCGGAAACCAGAGAACGCTAAGTAACATGTTGCAGGATTACTGTTGAAATTTTTATTAATGAAAATAAACGTGAAATTGTAGGGTATCAAAGAACTTAATCAAACCAATCTAAGTTACAGAGATCAGTTAGATAGTCTGTTCAGATTGAAACATCTTTTGGTCAAAATAATCTTCAAGGTACAGGGGTTCATCAGCGGTGCTGTGCTGACATATATCTGTACAGTCTATTCCTATCATCCTTAGTAAATACACCTTTGAACGGCTGTGGGAATCACATTCTTCCTTTGCAAGCAGAGGTAGTATTAAGAGCAGCCTCATCACCAGTTTAGGTGGGTCAGACTGAAGAGTCAGTGGGTAGTGCTAACAGAGCCCAGGTCTAACAGCGTAGGTGGTTACACAACAACTGTGAGTTTTATTTCTAATTCAAGCCGATCGGGAACTAGCTCACAGTCGTTCAAAAAGTCAGACTAAATCAAACATGATTGACAAATGTAAAATATTATTTGATTTATACGTAAGACGACCTCCTCTACTGAGGGAGCAAACGTTTCCTGGTAAATGTCGGCGGTGCAGATAGAGGAGATTATAACCTATTTTTAAGTAGTCTATTCTCTTACAGTAATCACCACCTAACTGGCCCTTGTGAGTGCGTCATTTCTGTCAATAATAAGCCTGTAGAAATAAACCCAGGCTCAATTTATTCGATGTTTTTAATTGCCAATAACCGCACATTGTTGTCAGCATATGTTGAAAGCTGAGGATGAATGTTTAGAGTGATATACACCGTTTGGACTTTCGGAGGCACTATGATCTTGCTGCGCATGTGGGGAACCCAGTCGACAAAGTAAGTCAGTGGTGAAAATTTGGAATATTTATGTTTTATTTCGAGGATCGCGTTGGTTACACAGCTGTAGAACACTTGCCGAGCATGCAAGTGGTTCGGGGTTTGATTTCCGGCAGATGCACTTCTTTTCCTCATTTACCTCGCTAAGCCAGTAATAAGACTAGTAAAGAATAAAGATGGAGCAGCCCTATCCTGTAAAAATAAAAACCATTGCTCTCGAAACTTCAAGCGTCTAGCTTGAGGCCCTAAATTTCACTGGGAAAGTATAAGAATAAGAAATTTTCGAGGAGGAAATAGCACTGGGAGGAATTCGGAAAGTCCATAAACAGTTATGACAGCCGTTTTTGGCGGAATCAGAATTTGGCTGTACACTCAAACCATCTCAGTCTCGAGAGAATGATCGTACATGACAAAGTGTAGTTAAGTGGTGCAGGTTTGGCAGAAATTTGAATTTTAATTATCAGACATCGCTAGTCTTTCGGCTATTGCTTTTGGTCCTTCATGATATCATTTAAAGCTGGGACGTAGTTCGGTGGTAGAGTAACACGAAGAATAAGCATACGATATCAGTCATCTGGCTTTAGGAACCATGGACACCTAAAATTACTGATCGTCTATTATACATTCCCTCTCCTTTTATTCATGCAGGGGTTTTCATAATTTTAAATTAACCAGTGTTTCGGTTCCAGCAAATGTGAAAATTCGTTGAATACATCCGCGTTAACTTATGTTCAGGTAAATATACTTTTTCTGCATGGCGCAACTGGCTTGCACTAACTACGTGGAAGTTGAGAATAAGCTTATTCGGGGGGTCCTCATCAGTCACAGGAAGAACAATCCACTGTCCTTGGGGTAAAAGAATCTAGTGATGAACTTGTTCACTTATGCTTAGTGGCTGCTACCATAGGTTGCGATTGTCACAAACGCATACAGGTGGGGTGGTTTATGCTGGTCTTTCCGTCTCTTTAAGGCTGTAAATTTCCTTGCACTCCCTGTGATATCTGAGATTTATTATTATGGTACCAGCACAATTTAGGATTCTTGAAGTTAGGAGGTTCAGCTTGTTCACGGTTACATTAGCTGCTGAATCGATGCGAGTTCCGACCACATCTAGAGCTCCTTCGAGTCTCCTGAGCCTAAGATGTTCGACAGAGTTGTACAGTACGGTTATTTCCGATCCAGCACACATTCAGTTCGTATTGTGGTGAGAGCGGTCTACTAGCCAAGTGGTGGACAGTAATTGAGGTCAATGTTTATGTATCAAATATTAGTCATGTTGTGGTGAGAGATGGTTGCTGGCCAAATTGGTTGACAGTAATCGAGGTCAAAGGTCAAGGTGGACAGGCGGTTACAGTTAACATATAGATGAACTGACACAGCCACAAGAGATGCAAGGTTAACTTTGTGTGAGAAACAACCAATCAACAGACTGTATTTTCTATTAACATTGACCTTCGATAATGTACATAAAAATCTATAAATACGTGTTGATTTTTCGTAATAAACGATCTGTTGCCTGGCCCTTGTCTTCTGTTGTTACATTTGGTGTCGCTGCCTACCGACAAATGGAAAGCCTATGCCCTGCAGTTTTTGATGGAGACATATGGATCTTCGGGCAGGACTTCGAGGCTTCTTCGCAGTTGAGTGGCGTTCAAGATCTGTCAGCGATAAGGCTGCTACTTGGGACGCTGCTGGGAGGTCGGGAGAAAGCAGCATATGGAAGTGTGCGGCGAAATACCTACGAATGTGCGGCAGGGTCAGGCAAACAGTTTCCACAGTGGGAAGGACCATATATGGTCACGTTGAGATGGGGTTACGCAGACGCAATCGCAATGGTAAACACCGTCAAACAAGTGGACATCCGCAAGCGCCGAGGTTCCAGACAGCTAGACAACAGAGCAAAGCCCCAAGAACCGAGAAGACCGAGCCGAATTCAGTCCAAGCTATTTGACGGGGGGACGAGTGTGGTGAGAGCGGTCTACTAGCCAAGTGGTGGACAGTAATTGAGGTCAATGTTTATGTATCAAATATTAGTCATGTTGTGGTGAGAGATGGTTGCTGGCCAAATTGGTTGACAGTAATCGAGGTCAAAGGTCAAGGTGGACAGGCGGTTACAGTTAACATATAGATGAACTGACACAGCCACAAGAGATGCAAGGTTAACTTTGTGTGAGAAACAACCAATCAACAGACTGTATTTTCTATTAACATTGACCTTCGATAATGTACATAAAAATCTATAAATACGTGTTGATTTTTCGTAATAAACGATCTGTTGCCTGGCCCTTGTCTTCTGTTGTTACAGTATCACCTCATTTCAGGAACAGGCCCTTTATATATTTCTAATTTCCCATCATTAGTTACGGTTAATCTGTTAAAAGACACGGTTCTAACTGGACGTGGCAAGGAGCATTACAGTAGTTGTAAATGTACCAGTTTCAAAGGTTCAACGCAGTGCTCCTGAAGCTGGTGGCGTCGCCGGAATTCCAATAGCCGCAACTCAGAATACTATGGATGTAGCTGTCTTAAAAATATCAGAAATATGATTGGCAATTTGGAGACTATTTATTAATGTCTTGATAATAAACCTAGACGAAA